TAGATAGATAGATAGATAAATATTTAGATAGACATGTAGACAGAGCTAGACATATACACTACATAAACCAAGAGATGCATATGTAAAATCGTGGCCACAGACTTAGCTATATATATCTATATTATACTTACATCTACATGTGTATGTACATAGAGAGAGGGAGAGAGACATATACTGCTATAGGTTTTCGGTCTTGTGGTGTCGTATGTATATATATATATATACATAAATATACATATATACATATATATACGCCATACATGCACATGTACACTGACGTACCTGTACATAAACCTGCCTCTATGTATACATGTGTGTATATATATATATATATAGATATACTTATATGTATGTATGTATGTATGTATGTATGTATGTATGTATGTATGTATGTATGTGTGCATTTTTATAGAGAAGCATGTATTTGGCTAGGGGTTTTCGGTTTTTGGCCTTCACCACGAGTGCTGAGGATTGAGATTGTCTAGGCTTTTCGGGGTCCCAGAGCTTGCGGGACGGAAACTTTCGGCTTTGGCTTCTAGGGTATGCAGCTTACCTATAGTCTCCATTGTAGTTCCTTTTTTGGTTTAACCATTTCTATATTAAGGATCCCGAAAGGTAACCCCACAAAGGAACTACAATGGAGACTATAAGTATGGTTTATGGATTAGGGTTTAGGGTTCAGGGGTTTTAGGGATTAGGGTGTAGGGGGGCATTGGGCTTAGGGCTTATAGGGGGCTTAGCATGCACCAGTGTGAAGCCTTTCTGTTCTTCTGCCTGCTGTCCTGATGACTTGGTGCTGGTGTCACGTGAGTCGAGCGACGCACATGCCTGTAGCGATGATCTTTGCCCCTTCGCAGTGGCCCTAAACCCTAAACCCTAAGCCTTTAAAGCGTAGAGGCTGTAGACCCTACCCCTTAAACCTCATAAACCCTAAAGCGTAGAGACTGTAGACTCCCTGCCAAAGCCTACTCCCTCAACCCTCAAAGAAGCGAAGTCAACTTGTGGTTCTCCATCCACCTCCCATAGGCCCCTTTGTGCCTCGAGCCACGAGGGTTTAGGGTTTAGGGGTTTAGGGTTTAGGGGTTTAGGGTTTAGAGTTTAGGGGTTTGGGATT